TTATTACTTTTTGGAAAGATGCAATTGAATCTAATATTTCTAGTTATTCTGAAGAACAGCTTGATGAATTAGAAGAAGTAAAAAAAATATTTGAGGAAGCAGATAAAAAACCCTTTAATCCTTCAACAATCATGGCAACTGTTCATCCAAATGCTGTTTATACAAGTAGATTATTGAATTTTACAAATCTTCCTCAACCCATAAACTCCAATAAAGTTACAATTATTAGTAATAATAATGGTAATTATCATCAATTGTTTGATTATTAATTTTAAAATTCAATATCAATACTAACATTAACATTGTTTTTATTATATCATAATTATCATATTTATAGAATCTAATCAAATTGATTTAGATTGTATTAATAATTGTAATTATTTCAATTATTTGATTATTATTTTAAAAATTAAATATCAATATTAATATTATTTTTATTTATAGGTTTTAATCACATGAATTTAAATAGTACTAATAATGGTAATTTTTTGATTATTAATTTAAAATTCAATATCAATATTAACATTAATATTATTTTTTTATAGACTCTAATCAAATAAATTTAGATATTTAAATTTATGAATAAATTTTATTCATTTGATTATTGGAATAATAATAAGGAACTGTATAATCAAAGCCCTCCTTGTGGTTTAACCTAGTGTTGTTAGCCAGTAGAGAAACCTTAGCTGGCTAACATTACTAGTTTAACCTGATTGAAGTGGCCTATCACCATGCCTCTTATCATCATTTAGTATTATTTATTTATTATTTTTTATTTGTATTTTTATATTCAACATCTATATATATTGTTTTAACATTACAATTTATTAATTTGTTTTCTTGATTAAACTTTTTAATATGCAAGACTTAGAAGTTATTTTAAAAATCTATTAATCAATTTACATTCCTCCAATAACTGAATTTTATCATTATAATTTATAAGATTCAAATTGAATGGTTGTAAATGGAGAATAGCAATAATGTTCACTTTATAATTAATTAAATCTATATTATCTAGAGTTTTGTTTATTGCAAGGTATTACACACTCAGGGTCTCTAAATTTACTTAAACTGAATCATTTATTTTATTTTTGTTGATTTTAAAAATAAAACTTTCATCTATTTCAATATTAATAAAAATTGTCTGGAGTTTTTTTTTTATTCCAACAAACCAAGTCTAACCAATTTTTCAGCATTCTTTGATATTTGCGTGATAACTATTGTTTGTTCAATGTTATAACATTGATTTCAAAACTTTTCCTTATTTCTGATCCAACCAGGAATTAAACTTTCCATTACCTATCGCTGGATCTTTTGAAGCAGCAGCAGTAATTGTGATGATTTTTGATTGGCATTCATTATTACAAGTATGATATTATCAATTGTTTCCAATAAGATTTGATTAAATCTGATTCCATTATAAAATATATTTTTTTTCCAAGTCTTCTTACTTTGTCTTCAATTTCATCCAATTCCCAATCATCACTTTTCAATATAGGGTTAAGCAATGATTTTTCAATAATTGTTGTCAGTCATCAATCATCATCAACAGCAATTTTTTAAAAAAGGAATAATTCTGGAATTTTATAAATCGATTCTTTAATATAATTATTAAAGCTCTGCATGAGACAGTTCGCAAGGAGCTTTAATAATTATAAAATATACTGGATGATGATAGATAATTTGATGAAAGTGTATAAAGATAATAACATCCATTCTCTTCCTTCAATGAATGAATAAGTAGCCTTAAAATTATCAATTAATTCATTAAAACATAATTCATCCATCACAGACTTTATAAATTCGATTATTTCATCATGATCCAGACTATCCTACAACAATTGTACTGTATATGAAAAATAAATATTATAATGATAGTTTAGAATATTGTATTAAATAGCTTTATTAAATAAATCCTTTCTATAATAAATGATATTTCATCATCATTACAAATTAAATTAAACTTACATTAAGAGGAGGATTTCAAATATTTTCTTTTGCAAAAATATAATGATACCATCATCATTAGATCTTTTTACGATTATTTTGATAACCCTGCTTTAAAATATCATATTAATAATATATTTTAATGGTAAAACATTTTCATTAGGCTGTTTAATATAATCAGAAAAAATTTACACAAAATAAATTTACAAAAAGAATAGGGCTAAAAAAAAAGGTTATTATTATTATGGAATATATTGAAAACCCTTCATTATCACAAAAAGAAGCATGGGCAAGGTAATTAAATAGTCAGTTTTCGTTCCTTCTCATCAATTCTTATTTTTTTCTAATATATTAATAAATTTTTGTTGATTGAAAAAAAAAAGAGAACAAACGGAATTAAAATTAAAATTAATAGAAAAAGATGAATTAAGTTTTAAAAAAGTAACCAATAAACGAAAAAATGATAGTGATGGTGATGGCGAGGATGGTGATGAAATTATAGAGTTCCAAGGATTAAAATATATTGGAGGTGTTGATTTAAGTTTTATCAAAGATAGTCAAGAAGATGCTGTTGCTTCATTAGTGATATTAGAATATCCAAGTTTAAATGTATGTATAGTATACATACAACGTATATATGTGTAATTATTTATAGCATCAATAAATTATGTACACATATATTAAATAATTAGGTAATTTATGAAAACTTTTTAAGCGTAAAATTAAAACTTCCGTACATTGCTGGATTTTTGGCATTTCGAGAAGTTGAATCTATTCTAGAATTGCTTAAAACACTTGAAAAATCAAATTCATCTATATATCCACAAGTCATAATCGTTGATGGTAATGGTACACTACATCCAAGGGGGTTTGGTTTGGCATCTCACCTAGGCGTTCTTGCCAACATTCCAACAATTGGAGTTGCCAAAAATTTCTTACAAATCGATGATGGAGAAAATTTAACAATGGTAAACGTAAAAAATATGGCAAAAGAGAAGTTGAGTAAAGGTGGTGATACTTATTTGCTTGAAGGAAATTCCGGGACCATATGGGGTGCTGTAGGTGCAAAATTTAATTGATTGGTTGATTATTATTATTTCTTCGATCAAACTAATCTACTATTTTTAAAAAAGGCACTTAGGAGTCTAGATTCTACTACAAACCCGGTGTTTGTTTCTATTGGTCATAGAATAAGTCTCGAAACCGCCATACATTTAGTACTTAAATGTTGCAAGTATCGTGTACCTGAACCTACAAGACAGGCTGATGTACGATCACGTGAATACATCAGAAATCACTTTTTTTGATTCTATAAAACCATCATCTAACACCACCATTACCACATGTTCCATATCACCATCATGAAATATTTCATAAAATAAAGGTACGCCCATGTATAAATATTTATACTACTCATTGTTAGTAATAATCTCCTTTCTTTTATTAACTTCTCGAATGTGGATGATCTTTTAGGGTTCTGGACAATTTGTAATAATATGTTGATTACTTGATTAATATTAAAAAAAAAGATTTGCAATTTATTTTGAAATAAAAAAATACAAAAATCATAATTATTTGTTATTTTTATTTATCAAATATATCACATATAACATTATGACTTGCCATTAATAATAATAGTAATAATATTGCTAATGATGATGAATTATAAATGAACAATAATTGTAATAATATAATTAATAAAGATTAATAATAATAAAAATAAATGTTATTAATGTGATAATGATTATTGTTATAATTATAATCTATATATAATATAATAATATTTTAATAAATATGTTAAAATCTATTAAAGTCTTTATAATTTTTTTAAAAAAAAAGTGAGAAGAAATAAATTAAATAAAGTAAATAATATGATAAAATTAACAATGATAATGATAATATCAATTCGCAATAGTTCATTTATTCATTCGATAATCCGCTCATTCGTTCATTCATTCATTCATTCTATAATAAATATCTACCAACTGTTCCATTCATCATCCCATTTACCATCTTTCTTGGCATCTGACTTGATTTCATTTCGTCTTCTTGTAGTAGTTGTTGTTGTTGTTGTTGTTGTTGTAGACATATTTCCGTCACCATTAATGACAGTTTTTGGAGAATTACTTCTACTATTAGAATTTCTTTGCTGATAATGACTAATTGTTTCGGTGAAGAAATCATCATTATTACTATAATCACCATTATTTTGATATGATTGATTGAAGTCAGAACTTAGCGTCGGATAATTTGATCTGGCAGATGAAGAATTCGTAGCAGAAATATTAGAGATTGTTGACATTCCACGCGAAGCAGTTTCTGATACCTAAACAATTGAATTAATCGGACCCAATTAAAAAATCACCATGCAATAAAATGGAACAGAGTAAAATAATTATAAAGATAAATGGATGTCACATACTGTTTTACTAATTCCTGACACATAGCCAGATATTTGTTGCGTAAATTCAGGATCTCTAACTTTTTCAGTGGTGGGTTTTATCACACGTTCGTTAACTGTTTGACCCAAAGTTTCGGCACCTTGTGCGGCCAATTTAGCACCCTCGACCATTGATTGCCCCAAAAAATTAAGACCTTTGGTGAATACACCGACAGGATCATTCATCAAATCATTTAAATCTGGCACAGTTGAAGATGATGAGTTGGATTGTTCATTTGCAAATGCAGGGTTACCGAATCCAGTATATTTACCGCCTTGATTAGGTGGTAGATAATCGGACCGAGTTTCGTTTGTACGTCCTAAAGTTTCAAAATATGCTTCATTACGTGTTTTGTTGCTATTGTTGCTGCTGCTGCTGTTGCTGTTGCTATTATCATTTATTCCAACGATACCATTTGATTGATATGATTGATATGTTGAAGAACGTGATGACGATGATGTGGTTGGCGATGATTTTTTATTATTTTCATTTGTTGTAGCATTAATGGCAGAGGAAAATTTTGATGATTGAGTTGATGAATTTGAACGATTACTATTGGCTGATGATGGACGACTTGATATTCGAGCAGAAGTCGGCGAGGGCGTCCATTTTTTACCTTCGCATTTTGCAGTTAACTAAATAAATATACATAAAAGTGCGTGTTTAAATGTTTAGAAAAATGATTTAACGTTGGGTAAGAAAATTTGTAAAAATTTAAAATATAATTTTTAATAATTATACAAACTTTTTCACGATATTGTGCAGCAAAACTGCTATGATATTTATCTTTTAATGACATCTCTGGATAATAATCTGACGAAGATTCATAAAAATTTCGCCATTCAGTATTACCACCAAGCTATATAAATATATAAATATATAAATAAGTTGATTAATCAATTAATTGATAAAATAACAATAGCCTAAATCCAAGAAACCAAATAAAATGTTATCAATTCACTTACTTGCATTTTCTTTATCTGATCATCGTACCATTTGTCCATAGTGATAGAACGTACAAAACTAAATAATCATAATTATAATAATATAAAATTTAATTTTTTTTTTACCATTGTGTTATTACCATTATTACCACCAGCGTTAATTCAAAAAAAAATAAAAAAATAATATTCCTCATCTAAAAATATAGAAAAAACATGGATTGAAAGTTTTCTTAAATTACCTAACATGAACTCCGAATGATCGATGGACACCCGAACATTCTAAGCAGATAAATATACCAAAAGATACTGAGGCCCATTGTGGATTAGGTGAGCCACAATCTACACAATTCTAAATAGAAATAATAAACAATTTAATATAATATAAAGTATATTTATTAAATATTATAACTCATTCATTATTACCTTATTTCCTTCTTGTCTTTGAATATCATATAAAATCTTTTTATATTCAGCAGCCATTGTAATGTAATTCGATTGATAATGAATGAAATGAATGAGAGATGGACGTCGTTTTTTTTTTTTTTTGAAAGGTGAAATTTTACAAATTCTTTGTTTTAAAAATAAATTCAAACTTTGGTGTAACAATTATGTATAAATAGCTGATTGGTTAATAATATTTAACCTGATTAAAAAAAGTAGAACAATGAATTTGTATTGGTATAAAAATGGAATTATAAAACAAGATCTATTTGTTACCTATCCGCCACCACTAACAATTAATATTATTCAGTACGCATTCCAAGTCGCAGAAAATTGACTCAAATTAAAAATCTTTATATAAATTTTACTTGATATTGAAGGCCTGATTAATAAATAATAAGAAAAATCTTTATTTTGGTAAATGATAAATGATGCTAATAATCCTTGATTAGTTTCCATCATTGAATAGAGCATTAAGAAATTGTGTGCATGTTATAGAATCAACCTTATACTGTACATTTATAATTTGCCTGGGCTATTTTTATAAGATGCCTTTCCAAAGTTATCATGTATCTGGTGCTAGAAATTTTCTACGTCGAGAAAGAATAATAGACATTCTTACAACTAACTGTCTGTGTACCCGAGATTTCCAGTAAGTGACATGTGGTAAAAGATAGAAGGCCGATGAGAGATTTTGCAGAAATAAATTTTACCATTTTTCACTTAATACTCCAAAGATCATAATTATATCGGTTTTTGTCCTTGATTTCCAACTAATAATGCAAGATTTTGATGTGTGTATGCATATGTGATTAATGATTTCATATGAACACACCATTCTTTAAATTTTTTGCTGATAACATTTAAACAAACAAGAACTTTGAAAGAAATATAAATAATAAATAAAATAAATAAGAATTGCAACATTTAATATTAATATTTAGTCAGGAAAATTGATCACAAATAACATTAATTAATGTTAACAATCTTCTGGTGTAAACAAAATCTAGGTGTACAGTTATTGTAATAGCTGGAGAATTAGTTGGTTGGCGTCCATACATCTGCTGTATATGGGAACATTATTAAAAGAGCCTGGCCTTATTCCCTCACAAATCTTCATTGCAAGGTTAATCAATGATAGTTGACCTGTCGACACACCACTGACATCAATGTATATAATTCTGTCTATTGTGAAATCCAACTTCTCATGAAAGGTTTTAGAACGCGTTAAAATGAATGTGAAGTTGGCTCTACATGTGGATAAGTAAACGTTAATGAAAAATGAGCAAATGTCATTTTGATTTTTCAACTATAAAGTAATTTACAATTATTGTAAGGAGCAATAGTTATTATTACGTATGAAAAGAGGTTATTTCCTACCTAATTCCTAATTTCGAATCACGTATCACTCACTATTACTATTACTATTACGATGATACGCGTTTGAGATATTTGTTTATTTACAGTGTTTTTGTAAATTTTCTTTATTAACACTAACACTAATATAAGAATAAACTATGCAACTTCTTATTTATTCGTATTACTTGAATTGCATAATCCAATTCAAAAACGAAAAATTAAAAATTGGCATGCATATTAATGCTGCATATCAGTTTTTTTTATAAATATGAATGCACATTTGTTAACGTATAATATAAATAAAGTTGTATATAGCTTATGTATGTTAATAAAATTCAATCATCAATTGTATTTAACCGCATTGAAAAAAATGCATTGAGTGTATTTTTTTCTTTATCTTTACCAATAAATTCCTTTATTCGTTAATACCTGTGAAATGTAACCAATGGCAATAACCGTAGTAGATTTGTAAATACTCTACTATTACACGTTATTTTGATTTATTATATTAATAAAAATCTAAAATGTGATTATGCTCATTTGGTGATAAGGTTTTACAACTTCCATAACACCACCAATTACAGAAATAGCGCTAATAAAAATTATTGTATGTTCAGTATTTTGATTTGTTGGTGTCTTTTAATAGTAGTCTGTCTATGTGTCAACTTTGACCTTTTATTTCAGAATAATTTGATAGTAAGTATCTTTATCAAAAATGCATTATTGAATTTAAAGTATTTTTCTAGGTTTTTTTATTTAAGATGACTCAGAGTAATCCGCCTGATGAAACTGAGAAAGACAAATCAACAGATGAGGAATTAAAAGTTAAAGAAGAAGAGACTGATGAGCAAGTCGAAATTTATCTTGCAGATGTCATGAAGCAGTTGGAGAAGGAGCCTTTATTTGAGGTATACGGTGTGTCAAAATTTGAATTCCAGTTCTTCTGCCACATTTTCAATGTTAAACAGAAAAATTCCGTGATTATATTCGATCACAGTCCAAACAAACCGGTCGGCCGTTAAATTTCTCCAATTAAAAATTAAAGACAGTATATTTTTCACATATTTTCAGTACGGAAATGTGCTGAACCTTCCAGCAAAAGTGCACCTTTTATGAAATACACACACTGACAGCATACATACAAATAAATCAAGTATGTCTTTGGGTGTAAAATTATACTAAAAGCATACTAATACTTAAAAAAATATATATTTCATAATAAAGTGTTTATTTGGTTCACTAGATTTGTAATCTCGAACTTGATAATTATATAAAACCAAACTTGAATACACATCCCACATAATATTAATTATAAATTATCTAATACAGAAATTCAACAACAGAATATCGTACGTAGAAATATTCCAATGAGTTTACCCAGGAGTTTAAGCAACCCTCCTAACCCAGATATCCCTGCAGCACCAACACTTTGCAACACAGAACAAAGGCTTCCAGCAACAACATATCCACCATGCGCAGCCATACATGTAGCAGCCCAGGTTCCTTTAATTATTCCACCAGCACCAAAACCTATTGCTCGGATTATTCCGACAAAAATAGTTGGAAAGAGACAAATTAAAATAAATATTCCGATTCCAATAGCAATTTCGATAATGATGCCATAATTTTCTTCGAAAAATTTGACTATAACGTCATAACTGTCTACGAAAAATTTGGCTATAGCATCACAAGCGTCTTTGAAAAATTTGGCTATAGCATCACCAATTCCATCAAATATCGTTCTGTCATCGATTGTCGAAAAATCGGTTATGGTCTTGTTGGACATTTCATCAATCTGGTCTGTGTTGTTGACATTTAGTGTGATTTCATTGATGTTTGGATCCTGTACGGAGAATATTGGTGGAGTTTCAATTTTATTCTCATCCAACTGATTTTTGGGTATGGGGGCGCTGACGACAGTTTGACATAATAACAATAATATAATAGCGACAATAAAAATGACTACCGCCTTGTAGGTGCTACAAAATCGAATTTAAAAAATAAATAAAAGCATAAGCGGCATATTACAAAAAAGTAAACAAAATAGTTAAAGCTTACCTTTTATTAGAGTTGTTAGTTGTCGCCATTATTTTTTTTTTAAAGTTGAATCAATAATATTTTATAAAAATTTTTTTTTGTAGAACCTATAAAAAGATACAATGGGTTTTTGGGCGCAGAAAATAACTCCGAAAATGGAAAATTGATCTTTGTATTTGCAACCTTCGGAGTTGTCCTTTTTATTTCCTGCGCCTATTTGATTTGATTGATTACCGATTTTATTATTCCCAAGAGATGTTATTATCTGTTATTATTATTTCTCGAAAACGGTTTTATCATATAGTAGTATTAATATTAATATTTATTTGGGAGAAAACCAAAAAACCATTTTTTTCATGAATACAAATTATAATCCTTCAACCAAAAATGGAGATGCTTTTGACGAAGCTGATAACAACAATAATATAATTACGAAATAGCAATCATGCATTAACTACGTGTTTATACTATTTATCTTAATTTGCGGGATCAGTATCTTACTCATACAAACCTTTCTAGAATGGATAGATAGATGATCTACACATTTATATGCAATATAATATAATAAATCTCTCTTTATTATGTTTTATTATGTCTTCAAAACCATACCAAATGTTTAAGGGTAGAGCGATCCAAAATATTTTTTAAGAGTAACATCACGTTTTATTTCACTTTGAAGGTTAATAAAATAAAAAACTTACAAATAAGATTTATATATATATATATTTCAAGGTTTTCTTTTCATTTCAGCACCAACAAACCAACATTAATTATGTAGGTTACTGAGTAAACACTTTTAAAAATAATATCACATGCAAATGAGTAGGTAAAACTTGTAAGTGAATGGGTTAACAACACAAATGATATATGTTTTTACTAATTACTTATTTTTTTAATAGAATTACAACAAAGTCAAGCACATGAAGGGTAGTATGTAGTGTTTAAATATTAGTATACAGTTCACTCTCTATAATGGTTTATGAAAAAATGTCGATTAGAGACAGTAATGTTTTATATATAGAACATATAAATCGAGCTTAAATTCTCATTCTATTGTTATTGTTGTTGTAGAAAGAGTAAACTGTAGTTACTATTTTTTTTTTTGTCACATTTCAAAATTTTGAGTAGTTAAGTTTACATACCACGAGAGTTGAGGCTCTAATATGTCCTTTATATTAATGCTAACAGTCATGAAGTACTTAAACACTTTATTATTTGTTATATAAATAATAACTTTTTAATTATTAAATTGCAAGATAAAATCGTGTAACGAAAAATTGTTTTAGTCATTTTGTATAACAAATTTTTGTTATTATTATGGTCGATCAATCTACCCTTCTTAATATTCTTAATAATGAATTTTCTTTTGTACAAAATAATTTATAAAAAAAAAAAAAGAACCAAAGAAACAAACTAAGAATGGCTGATGAAAATTCATATTTATTGCCAAGAACCTTTACCAGACTTGATAGAGGAAAACGAGTTTAATGGAAATGATGGGGTATTTTAATAAAATCTCACAAGTTGCTTTTGGAATTATGTATATTTGTAAATTAAAATGCATCCAATACTAATAATCTTATTCTGTGCTTCTCTCCCATGTATTTCAACTGTTCATTTTGATTTAACATAAACCAGATGTAGAAGGTGGTGATCATTATTGTAATGAGATGGTTGAAGAAAATGATGCTAAACAATGGAATCACCACCAAAAAGCATAATCACTCAGTTTGATTGAAGATTTTCTCAATATATTCAACACTTGGTAGATTCTGAATAAAGATGGTTCTGGAGTTCTGGTATGGAAATATTGTTGTGTTTGAAGTCACATAGGTTGTCCAGGTGCATACTCAAAATAACTTGCCTTTAGGAATTTCTAATGACCTTAAATCAAAAGTGCTTTTCAAACCTTTGGATAATTGTTACAAGTATTTCTCATGTGGCTACGGACCTGAACCTACTGGGAAAAAACAAGTTCTTGAAATCACTGATGGTGATACGATTCAGGATTGGAGGGACAAAGAGGTGATGGCTCCTCAATTAGTTGCAACTAATTGCAGCATATAAAAATTGAATTGTGGTTGCAGTTGCAGCATATGAAAATTGAATTGCAGCTAATTGTGATTCCCATCTTTAATTCTGAAATAAATTTATAGTTATAATTTTAGAAGGGTTGAAAATATTGCCCATTTTAATGTTAAAAAATCAACTGAGTGAAACATCACTAATTACCAAACATTTAGATTACATAATGAAAGGGTTTTCCACAAACCTGACTAAAGACTAGTGCTGTAAATTATGATGATGGTATTTATGGCATATAAAAAGTGGTCGCAATTACCTTTGTGACCACTTTTGCAACCATACTTTTTTCCTTTTTGGATTACAGCACTAGTGTTTAAACCTGACAAACATACGGTTAAATGGCCCAACATGGGTCTTAAAGAAAACAAAGCATGAAAGTTGGAAGGTAGAACAAAGCAACCCGACTTTATAATATCAGCTACAAACAAATGGGGATTTCTTTGTTGGTGAAGTTCATCATAAAGTTGATCCAACATTCACCCTATATTTATTAAGTAGAGTTATTTGATAAATAGTTAAATTTTATATTATCAAGTATTTAATATTTTATAAGTAATTTATTTGTATTTAAAATATTTATTTATTTATTACTTTAATGTTATATACTTTAAACATTAAATTTAAAACTTTATAAATATTTTTTAAAAAAATACTTTTGAAATATTTTTAATTTAATATTTATTAATTAGTATAAAGATATTAATGTGTATTAATTAAGCATTTAAATTTACTATTTAAAAAACATTTAATTACTAAGGAATTATTTAATATAATTATTTACAGTAAATTCCCGGTTTACTAAATTTTGGTATAATATGCACTGTATTTGTCATTGAAGCAATAGGAATTAAAGTATAAATGCTCTACATGCTTAAGAATAGCACATTTATAAAAATATTGATGTCAAACATCATCTGGATCAAAATTTTAACCCATACAATTGTCGATTGACCAATCACAATTGTGAATTTGATAACATAAAAATGGTTTCTGGCCGAAACTCTTTTTATTAGTAGCCAAAATTGCCGAAACACTTTAGGCAAAAATTACTTTTTTATAAGCCCAAACTATTTTTTGTCATTAGCCGAAATTGGGCGAAATTACTTTATAAAGTTGTTTAAGTTAAAAATCAATTGATTGGTATAGTTTTTTAATGTTCATGTTTATAGAAAATGCCGAGAAGCCCAAATTGAGTAACTCATCTTTGTCTGATATTTTTGGAAGACCTTCTGGAATAGGAGGGGGAGCATGAATCCGCTTTTTTCTAAGGGCCTCTATTATACTTGGATAATCTTCAGACCATTCTACAGAAGTTATTCCGGTTTTCAACTCCTGTGCAGTCATCCGCTTTAGGAGAGGTTCCTCAATATCTTGATTAGCTTTTTTGGCAAAGCATTGCTGTTGATGTTTTCCTGAAAACCCAAATTTTTTCAATAACTTCAATAGCAACTTCAACTGGTTTATCTTCATTTTCATTTATTAACTCTTTTAAATCTTCTTTGTGCCAATAATCTCAATCATTTTTTTCTTCTTGTTGCTCTTCCTTAAGGTAAGTATTGAGAGTTTTAGCCATATTTTCTCTTAAATTTTCAACCTGTTCTTTAAAAGGAGTTAATTCAGCAACTTTTTTTTCTAAAAGAGCATTCTTTTCTTCTAATTTTTCATTTTTTTGATAAATATAACTATAAGAATCACAATTAAGTAATGTTCATTCAGCACAACCCTTAACAAAGTCCTCAAGAGTGAATTCATGCTTAGGTAAAAAGTGTTGTTCTAAGGTCATTAAAGTTCCAGCAATTTCTGGGCTTTCATTTTCCTTAACCTGGTTAATTGCATTTCAAATTCTTGGTTTAAAATCATCTTCTTGGTTTTCTAATTGTTTTTTTAGTGTTTCTATTTCATTGATTAGTTCTTTATTTGCTTGTTGTTGTTCTTTTAGGATGTTTGTCATGATTTTTTGATTGTTCCTTTTTTTATTTATTCTTTTAATATACTTATATCCTTAGGGTATGTTAAGTATATAATTATTTTAGT